GATTTGTATGGAAGCACAAAAGACCTTGAGTCGCCAAAGCCATCCTGAGTAAAAAGAACAAGGCTGGAGGCATCACTCTGCCCGACTTCAAATTATACTACAAAGCGACAATAATCAAAATGGCATGGCATTGGCAGCAAAACAGACACACAGATCAGTGGAACAGAATCGAGAGTCCAGAATTAAACCCATGTTCAGATGGGCAAAAAATTTTCAACAGAGGAGCCAAAAACATACAGTGGAGAAAGGAAAGCCTCTTCAATAAATGGTGCTGGGAAAACTGGAAAGCCATCTGCAAAAAGAATGAAACTAGACTGTTGTGTATCACCACACACCAAAATTAACCCAAAGTGGATTAAAGACCTGAATATAAGACTGAATATAATGCATTGCATAGTAGAAAACATAGGAACTCAATTTATGGATCTTAGACTTAAAAGAGGATTTTATGAATTTGACCTCAAAAGCAAGGGAAAGCAAAGGAAAAGTAAAAGAGTGGGATTACATCAAACTTAAAAGCTTCTGCTCAGCTAAAGAAACTGTCAACAAGGTAAAGGGACAACCATCCGAATGGGAAAATATATTTGCAAGCACGCCTCCAGTAAGAGTTTAATATCCAAAATGTACAAAGAACTTGAAGAGGATGCAGAGAAAAAGGATCCCTCATACACTGCTGGTGGGACTGCAAATTAGTACAGCCACTAGGGAAAACAATATGGAGGTTCCTCAAAAAACTAAGAATTGTTCTACCATATGATCCAGCAATCCCTCTACTGGGTATTTACCCCAAAGACTTGAAAACATATATCCGAAAAGATATTTGCACACTGATGTTCATAGCAGCATTATTTATCATAACCAGGACTTAGAAGCAACCAAAGCGTCCTACAGTAGATGATTGGCTAAAGAAGCTTTGGTACATATATACAATGGAATATTGCTCATCTATAAGAAGGGATGAAATACTGCCATTTGTGACAACATGGATGGACCTTAAGATAATCATGCTAAGTGAAATAAGCCAGAAAGAAAGGTGAAAACCACATGATATCACTTATATGTGGGATATAAACCTAAAAGCAACAAACAAACATGACAAACAGACTCATGGACATGGACTATAGACTAGTGGTTACCAGAGGGAAGGGAGGAGGCAGGAAGGAGAGGTAGACGGGGTAAAAGGGCTCAAATATATGGTGATAGAAGGAAATGTAAGTGGCGGTGAACATAAATTGCAAAATATATACGACATACTGTTGAATTGTACATTTGAAATTTACTGGATTTCGTTAACCAATGTCACCATAATAAAAAAATAAATAAATAAAGGAAAAATAGATAAAAGAAAGTTAAGGTTGATATTCCCAGGAACTGAGAAAAGTGGTCATGATTTAATCAGTCAGTCTTGATTGTAATTGTTGCCATGTGTGTTGTGGCACTGTGTACTGTTAGCGGTAAGTCATTCTTGCAAATAAAACAAATATTAGTACACTAATGTGAATAGTATACTTAATACAAATTCTCCGCGTAGTGTTTCAGGAAATAACAATAGCATGTGGTTTTCAAGAACAATTTTCTTTTGTGGTATACACATTACTTTTAGGTTCTGTGGGTTCTCCATTGCTGATAATCATTTGGAATCACATTTCTGCCATGTTGTTTACTAGTGCTGCCACTCCTGAGCAAGCCATATAGAACTCCCTCTCTAATCTGCCATTTTTGTGGAGGTGGGGGGGCAATATATGCTTTATATTTTTAAGTAGTTCTTGAATGTAGTCAAAATTTCATGAATATCTATCTGTACTTTAGATATAATCTTTTCTAAGCAAGATTTATAATTTGTTTACTATTAGGATAGAGTGTAATCAAATACTCACTTCTTTCTCCCAGCTGCTATCAAGAGTTCCTGAAGAGTGGAGAATGTCCCTAATAATTGACCATATATGTGTATATATATTTAAGAAATGCACGTCCCTTCCTCCACAACACAAATAAGAACTTAAGCTCTGGAATATTTCCAACTCTATCACTTTGCTACTTTGGCAAACTTTAACTGAATATCATATTCCTTCATTTTAAAAATGGTGCAACAAAAACAATAATAATATAATAACAATAGCAACTCAGTTTGGGGGAAGTTGAAAACAAAATGCATGTAAAGGTTAAGCCTTAACAGTGTTGGGCATATTAGCAACATTTAGGAAATTTTACTACTAATTATCACTGTCCTATGCAGTTCATAATTCTGGACATGTAGTAATCTAACCACTTGTTGAATTCTTTCTTTAGATGATTTTCAGCCTAACTTGTTTCCATAGGATAGTAACACCTCTGAATGTTATCAGTTAATTGTCTTATGTTTCTAACTGTTGTAAGTGGAAATATTTCTCTTCTTGAAAATTCTGTTGGTATTCTCATTTAACTACATGCCATTTGTTTTGCTTTAGGGCGGAGATGCGTGAGAGTGGAAGACATGGCAGAGAACTTGAAGAACATTTCTGCTTTTTAGCACTTCCTCAGAGTGATGTGGCTGAGATATATCAGAATGGAATAAGTACCAAAGCATCTACATTGAAGATATTAGGAAATCCTCTTCTTGGAATTTATATATTTAGACATGTTGATGTTGCCTTGAATTATGCTCATACTAGAAGCATTACTGTAGAAAGTATTATAATTTTTAAGGTAGGTAGCATAATACAAATGTTAAATTATACTGTTTGTTTTAAATTGACCTGAACATATCTTCCTTTCAATCTGAATTATTAATGTTTTAAGTTACATAAATTAAGTAATAATTATATTTATCATCATCATCATCATCATCATTCAAAATTTTCTCCAATTTCTGATTCTGATTGGAGAAAATGAAACAAAAATTCAAGCAAGCAAAGGCAACTTTTAGTGTCTTTGTCTTCCCAATGTGTATTTTTTCTGTCTTAATTGACTCTCCTTTCTTTTGTTCAGACTCTAATGCCAGAGTGTTTTAAGTATCCTTTTTCAGAACATTGATTATAATTATTGTGGCTTAAGCTAAAGTTACTAAACTCTTACTGTTTAATTTAGTTAAAAGTATTGTACAATGTTAATTTCTTAGTTTTAATAATTTTACCATGCTTATATAAGATGTCAATATTAGGAAAAGCTGAACTGTTTTTGCAACTAGTACTAATTGACGTTTCTATCCACAATGTGTGGGAGTGCTTGTTATCTCACACCCTCACTAACTTCGTATATTATACTTTAAAAAAAAAATCGCCAGCTAAAAAAAAAATCGTCGCCAGTCTAATAAGTGATAGTTTCTCATTGGCACAGTTTTTTTTCGTTTTTACAGTTATTGCTCAGTTTAAACATTCTGCATATATATATTGACAATATTTAGTGAATTGCCTATAAATATTCTTTGGCAGTTTCTTGTTTTTTTCTTTTTCTTTTTTTTTTTTTTTTTTTTTGGTTATTTGTATAATTCATTAATGTGTATCTCGAAAGCTAGGCTTTTCTCTGTAACATTTCATATAACTATGGAACATTTGCCAAAACTAAGAAATTAATATTGTACATGTCAATTATATCTCAATAAAAAATAAATAGAAATTTAAAAATTATAAAATAAAATGAAAAGAAAGTAATATCGATTAAGAGTACTATTAACTACAGACTTTGTTCAGTTTTTGTTAGTTTTTCCACTAATTTTTTTTCTCTTTTGGTATCCAAATGTAGGATTCCACATTACATTTAGTACTGTTTTTAATTTTGAATGAATGCATTAGCATATTAGAAAAACAATAATAGAATTGCTGACTTTAAATAAAATGTGTACTTGTTTTCATATTAATTCCATTTTCTTCCTCATTATCTTTTATCAAGTAGTCATGTTCATGTTCCTTTTTAAGTTTTATATTCATTTATTTTTGATATACAGAAGTTTTTTAATATTTTACAGTGAAGTCTATGTTTTTGGTTTATGGTTTCTTGGCACACAAGCTTAGATAAGAATTCTCACTTCGAGATCAGATAAAGATTTGCTGATAGTTTTTCTACAATGTTTGTATTATAAATATATAGCTTGTGTGTTATTTTGGTTTATAGATTAAGGAAGGAGCTTATTTTTTCAGTTGTTTCATAGCACCTATTGAATAATCTGGTTTTGCTTCACTTATTTCAAATGGTACTTTTAACATTATACTGTGTTTTTATAGATGAGTGGACTTGCCTAGGCTTTTTATTTTGTCCAGTTCCCCATCAACCCCATCTTTTCTAGTGGTAGAACCAGCCTTTTAAAATTTGTTAAATATCTGGAAGTACAAGTCACCTGTCCTGTTCTATCGTTCTCTATATCTGACCTAAAAATTTTTTTCAGAATTTTTTTTCCAAAATTTTCTCGGGTATTCTTATTTGTTTAGTCTTCCAGATAAGTTTTCAGCCTAAAACTCATTTCTGAAAATATATTTGCTGAAATTTTTATTGGGATTACTATAGTCGTAGAGTTTAATTTGGAAGAAATCCATCTAGGACATGGATTGTTTCCATTCATATTTCTTTCTTTAAAAAAGAGAACTAGCTTCATTCTTCAATTATGAGAGTTTAAAGTGTTTCAGTCTATTTTTATGGACCTCCTTTTTGCCTTTTTTTAAGGTTCTCTTTGGAAAAGTGAAGAAAATTCAGCCTTCAGTGGATAAAAACAAAGTTTCTTTGGATCCCTCTCCTAACTTTGATTGCCATATGTCAAGAAGTACACCTTCTCTGAAAGATACCATTGAGCTACAAGCCTACAGTTCAGCAGTATGTTAACTTTTTAGTCCAGTTGACTACTTGAAAGTCACACACTTCACATTGTATAATACAGAACTTAAAACAACTTTCCGAAATATTAAAGGAAAATCTTTTAAGTCATTTAATATAATATGACCTTAAATAAATGGATAGTGAAAGATGTTTTAAAATTTGTGATCGGAGAATGTCAGTAGTTTTCAAATTTATATTTAACTTTGTTCAAAGTAAAGTGGCTACTTGTATTTAGATGTTTCGTAGATTAATTCCTATCTTGCAAAACATGCCAACTTTTTTTAAACAAGGCTATTTTGAATAATGTTATTGATCCTTTTTACTTTGCAGAGGAGGCTTTTGTGTCAGTCATTACATGTGAAACAATAATTTTCTTTCATATGTTGCTGAGATAGGCCTTTAATCTTCTACAGAAGATTAAATTATATATAATCATGTATGATTAAATAAAGATAACCTTCTAGAAGTTTATATGTGCTTGCACCTATAAAATGTATTAAGCTATGGTTATTTTCCTAATTAACTTTTCCAACTAAATAAAATATAGTATAGTGGTTCACAGCACATGCAAAACATTGGACTTCTAATGGAAAAATACTTTTTAAATTTAAAAATAGATTGTATCTGCTCCTGTCAGCATTTTCCAACCAAGGAAAAAATATATGGTAGGGAAAAAATGTATATAGCTTCAAAAAAATTAGGATTGAGAGACAAAGAAAGACCCAGTAATCCCAATTCTGGGTATTTATCTGAAGAAACCTAAAATACAACTTCAAAGGGATATGTACATCTATATGTTTATTGCAGCATTATTTACAGTAGCCAAGATGTGGAGGCAACCTGGGTATTCATCACTGGATGAATGGATAAAGAAGAGGTGATACGTATATACAATGGCATATTACTTAGCCATAAAAAAGAATGAAATCTTGCCATTTGTAACAACATGGATAGACCTAGAGGGTATTTTGCTAAGTGTAGTAAGACAGAGAAAGACAAATGTCATATAATTTCACTTATATGTGGAATCTAGAGAGCAGGATAAATGAATAGACAATAGTCATGGATATGTAGAGTATAGTATGGGGAGTGTAGTCAGTAATATTGTAGTAGCTATGCAGGGTGTCAGATAGGTACTGGATTTACTTCATAAGTTACAGAAATGTCTAATCACTGTTGTACACCTGAAGCTAATATTGAATGTGAACTGTAATTGAAAAAATAAATATGTGTATGTACATACACACACATATATATGTAAACTAGGGTTAAAGAAGATGAGGAGAGAGGTGGGTATATGGAAGCAGATGAATAAATACATCATGCAGTTATATTAGTTTTTTTAAATATGAGCTTTTATTCAAGCTAAAATTAATCAACATAAAAATATTATTTTTTCTTCATCTTTCAGGTATACTTCTATGAATACAATGTTTTTTCAAAGCCAGTAGATAAACCTAGACAGTGTCTTCCATATGCAATTATAACAGTAAAATTTATTGGTCAAAAAGTAGATAATGGGCACCTTATGACATCCTTGAGATTCCTCTCAACGGGATTTCCTAAGAGGGCTGGTAAGATACATGTATTATTCTACTTCAGTAATATTTTTGCTAGTTTTACAACTTCTGGATATTATTCTATAATATATTCTGAATCTCTAAGCAAAATAGTTGTGCTTTACCTATTTTAAATTTTCTATATCTAGAATTACATTGTAGATATTTTTGTGACTTATTTAGCTCAATGTATTTGTGTGATTCTTCCATGCTGATGTATAACTAGTTTCTTCATTTTCATTCATACATATGTGTACACATACACACACAGCATTCTGTTTTGTGACTGGGGATATTTGGACACATTCCAGTTTTATTCATTTTCCAGACATTGCTATTTTAAACATTCATGTAAGTGTCTCAGTGCCTATGTGCAAGAGTTTTTCAGTAGAGTGTACATCCACATGAGGAATGTGCAATGCAATCCAAGGATGATGTCAACATACTTTTCAAAAATGATTGCATCAGGTTACATAATTAATCTATATTCTTGCCAACACATGTACTTTTTAGAAATGTTTGTTTCTGCCAGCCTAGTGAGGGTGATAAGCAATCGATATCATCTCTAAAAGAAACGTTATCATATCCATTTCCCCTCAGTCTCTCCACCCCTAAGCAATCACTAATCTGCTTTCTGTTTCTATGGATTTGCCTGTTCTGGGCACTTCGTGTAAGTGAAGTCAAATATGTGGCCTTGCATGACTGGTGACTTTCACTTAACAGTATTTTCAAGGTTCTTGCAAGTTACAGCATGTATCAGTACTTCATTCCTTTTTATGAAATTATGTTTCATTGTATAAATACATTACCTTATATTTGTCCATCATTAGTTGATGGACATTTGGGTTGTTTCCACTTTTTTAGCAATTATGAATAATTCTGCTATGAACATTCTTGTACGAGTTTCGGTATAGACATGTGTTTTCATTTCTCTTGGGTAAATAGCTGGATGTAGAGTTGCTGAGTTATATGATAACTCTATATTAACCATTAGAGGAATTGCCAGACTGTTTTTCAAAGTGGCTGCACCATTTACATTCACACCAGCAGTGTATGAGTTAAGATTTCTTCGCTTCTTTGATAACGTGCTATTATCTGACATTTTGATTATAGCCATCCTAGTGGGCGTGAAGTGAAGATTTTAGGGTATAAGTTTTACACTTCTTTGTTAAATTTATTCCTACGTATGCTATTCTTTTATCTTACAGTAAATAGTTATTTCATCAATTTCATTTTCGTATTGCTCATTGCAAGTATATATAAATAATGTTGATTTTTGTGTATCCTGCAGCCTTGTTGATCTCATTATTAGTTCTAGTTTTTAGTGGTTTACTTATACAAGATCAGGTCATCTGCAAATAGAGATAGTTTTACTTCTTTCTTTCCAAACTGGATGCCTTTTATTTTTCTTGCCTAATTGTTCTGGCTAGGACTTCCAGTGGAATGTTTAATAGACATTCTTGTCTTATTCCTGAGCTTAGAGGGAAAGCATCCATCTTTCACCAGTAAGTATGATGTTAGCTGTGGGGTTTTTTTGATGTCTTTTATCATGTTAAGTAAGTTCCCTTCTATGCCTAGGTCTTTGAGTGTTTTTATTGTGAAAGATTTTGTCAAATGTTTTTGGTGTGTCTTATTGAGGTCATCGTGTTGTTTTTATTTTCACTCTGTTACTGTGGTATATCACACTGATTTTCAGATGTAAAGCAAACCTTACATTCTTGAGATAAATCCCATATAGCCTTGGTATACAATTCATTTTCTATGTTGCTGGAATCAGTTTACTACTAATTTGTTGACTTTTATGTCCATATTCATAAGAGATATTGACTTGTAGATTTCTTGTGATGTCTTTGATTTTGGTGTGAGAGTAGTACTGGTCTCTTAAGATAGTTGGGAAGTGATTCCTTCTCTTCCATTGTTTTAGGAAGAATTTGTGAAGAATTGGCATTAATTCTTCTTTAAATACTTGATAGACTTCACAAGTGATGCCATTTGAGGCTGGGCTTTTTTTTGTGGGAAGTTTAAAAAAATTTTTTTTTTTACTAATTTAGTTTCTTCATTTACTGTAGGCCCATTCAGATTTTATCTTTCTTCTTCAGTTTTGTTGGTTTTGTCTTTGTAGGAATTTGCCCATTTCATCTAACCTATCTAATTTATTGGCATACCATTATTCATAGTATTTCTTTATAGTACTTTTTATTTCTATAAGGTCAGTAGTAACATCCTCTCTCTAATTTGTGATTCTACTGATTTGAGTCTTCTCTGTTTTTTTCTTGGTCTGTATGTCAATTTTGTCGATCTTTTTAAAGAACCAACTTTAGACTCATTAGGGTTTTTTTCCTCCCTATTTTTTTATTCTCTATTTTATTACTCTTGCTATTCATTATTTTCTATTTGCTTTAGGTTTAGTTTGTTCTTCTCTTTCTGCTATCTTAAGGTGGAAGGTTAGGTCATTGATTTGAAATCTTTCTTTGTTAATACATGCATTTACAGCTATAAATTTCACTGTAAGTACTGTTTTAGCTATATCCCATAAGTTTGGGTATATTGTATCTTCATTGTCATTCAGCTCAAAGTATTTTCTAATTTTCTCTTTTGATTTCTTAATTGACCCATTAGTTCTTTAGAAGTATGTAGTTCAACCTCTGTGTATTTGTAAACTTCCCAAATTTCCTGCTGTTGATTTCTTATTTCATTCTATTGTGGTTGGAGAGCATAATTTGTATTATTCTTTTCTTTTAATTTATTGAGATTTATTTTGTAGCCTAACAAATGGTCTGTCCTGGAGAATGTTCAATGTGCACTTAAGAAGAATGGATATTTTGCTGTTGTTGGGTAGTGTGTTCTACAGATGTCTATCAGGTCTAGTTGATTTATAGTTTGCTCAAATTTCTGTTTGATCTGCCTGGTTATTCTTATCTACATTATCCCTCTGTTGGAAGGCTTAAAATTGAGACATTAGATAAGGACCTTTCCTCCACTTCTACTTCAGCCCATCCATAGTCTTGCTTTATTACTTTAATCCAAGGATGATGCCTGTCAGCATGATAAACTTTGAGGATTACCAATATTATGCCCATAGTCAAGGCCACATGCATTGGTCATCACAATCATCTTCCTCTAGAGTACTGTAGACCTATGCCGTCCTGTACAGTAACCGTTAGTTATATGTGACTGCTTAAATTTAAGTTAGTTAAAATCAAATTAAATTAAAATTTTAATTTCTCAGTTACACCAGGCATATTTCAAGTGCTCAGTAACCACATTTATCTGTTGGCTACTGTATTGGATAGCACTGATATAAAGAACATTTCCATCACCATAGAATATATAGTGCTCATAACTTTATTAGTTTGCTTTGTTAATTGAAATGTCATCTTGTTACAACTTCTTATATTGTTGAAGATGTTGGGTTCTCCACTTTTCATGTATTATTTAATGAAAATGCCCCAAATAATAAATTTAAAACGACTTTATTTTAAACAACGTAACATAGTGATTAAGGTTCTGTTGCCTATAAACTGTGATCCTAGGCAAGTCACTCTTAACTTCACTTCCTCATCAATAAAATGGAAATGTTATAAAGATTAAATGAGTGAATAAACATAAGGCACTTAGAAAAACCGTCCTTGGCAGCCACACTAAGTACTTTATAAGTCATCCACATTATATGTTAATATGCATTTACCATATATTTATGAAATTTGAGATTATTAAATAAATTTAAGTGATTAGGTTTCTCTTCCCATGTTGGTTTGCCTTTAATTTTTGTAATAACTGCATAACATTCTTTTTCTAGGGCATTTTTTTATAGCATGTACACATGGTACTTTTATAATGATTGATATGTCATATTTATTTAACTAGTCCCATATTGATAAGTTTCTAGCTTTCAGCTGTCTTGAATTACTGTACTAAAAATTCTTGTACATATATCAAAGGTATTAATGCAAGTAAAAGTGCTGGGTATAGATGATTATACATTATATTTTGATGTCTACTGTAGATTTTCTTTCCCAGGAAATTAGTACCAATTTATACTCCCATAAACAGTATGAAGGAGTGCTTACATATGCAGAGTATTAATTATCCTCCCAAATCTTTGCCAATTAAAAAATTTTAAATATGAATCATATTGTTTATTTAGTGGGATTGAACATCTTTTTGTTTGCTGACAGTTTTCATTTAATCTGTGATTCTTTTGTTCATATACTTTGTCCACTTTTCTATTGTGTTCTTTTTATTAATCTTTTGAATGTTCCTATATACTCTTTATGTATTCTAACATATCTAGTGATGTACTAAGTTGTCTCATTCGAAATATACTTTCTTTCAGTTTATTGAGTTTCGTTGATTGTGTATTTTGGCTATTAAAATATTTAATTTATATGTAACTGCCATCATTTTTTAATTTTTGGTTTTCTGCTTTCTAGTCATGCTTAAAAAGTACTTTCCTATCCCAAGATTATAAAACTATTCCTCCATATTTCCTTCTAATATTTTTATGGTTTTTATTTATTAACAATGAATTTTATTTTATTTTTGTATAAGGAGGTATCTGAATCTACCTTTCATTTTTCTGTTTACTATAGCTCCCTCTCAAGAACTACATCTCTGTTTGTGGTCATATTTATACTATAGCTTACTGAGATTAAAAAATATAATCACAAATCGTTATAGAATTTAAAAATTCAACAAATCAATCTTTTACTATATTATGGGGGAAAAAACGTCATGGTACTTCCTAGTGGTCTTTTAATGTATTGTGAAAAAGAACTTTTATAGTACTTCCCGGTAATGTGATTATAACTTTATGTATGTCATAAATCTCACAAGCAATTTCTCATCATTAATTTCTGTTTTAATAAAGGTGTTTTATGGTGTTCTTAGCTATGAATACTTTCTGAATACTTGCTAAATATGCATTTTGATAAGTCCCTTTGTTATAACATGAAGTTATTTCTGAAATTTTAAGAATACATTTTTATGAATTATAAAAGAAAATTTGCTTTTATTTTCTGTGTTTTATTTACATATACTATTTGCAGGAATATTTGTTTCACTGTGCAGCAGGGGTAGTGGTTTGCTTTGGCTGCTAGGAAGGATTTTGTGGAACCTTTTGATCTTTTTCTCTCCTACTTCTCCACATTATTTCTCTTTCCTTTCAGTTTTTTGTTCTCCAGCAATAGAGGGGAAACAAGCAAGGTAACAGTAGTTAGAGGGAGACAATTTTACCTATTAACATGTAGATTCTATTATTAAATATTTGAATATAGGAAATTAATATGAGAAGTACCTAGCCTATGATCAACATTTTTATTCCTATTTAATTTTTCTGTTTCTTAATATTTGACAGAATCCAAGTTTTTTTATGGCAAATACTTCCTTTAGTAAAGTCTCCAGGACAGAGTTTCATGCTCCATCATTTACACTGTATTGGTTTGTAATTCATCCTCTTCTCTCTTCATTTTTTCTGCTGAGAACATTCTCTATTCATCTAGGATATTTGATGAATTTTCAGTTAAAATCACTCATGACATAGTTTACTTGTATTAATAGAGTTGTATGTAGAAGTACTTTTTCTTCCTATTTTTTTCTTATTTTCTTATTATTTCCACAGAAAGAACATGCTCTCTGAATAACTGTACAGTGGCCAAAAGGATTGGAAAAGGAAAAGATGCTACAGTCATCTTTGAGCATTTCAGGAAACCTGTAGATCCATTTGTTCAGGAAAACTGTTCATGCAATGCACTAAATTTAGAGATAAATCCTTCCAGCTCAAATATTTCTAATTCCTATGGAAATGTGCAAAGTGGGAACATTTCTGCACTTGAAACATGCAGTGGACACATGGATTACAATTTAACAGAATGTAGAGACACTTCTCAAGTACATGCATATGATTCAGGTCTTTCACTTATTCCCAGTGATACCAGAGAAAGTATTAGTGATGATCTCTTGTTAAATTGGACGCATCTTAAAAATATTTTAAGTAGTCTTTCTGGTGCTTTTCCCCTTTATAATAATGCTGGCTCGAGCACAGTTATTACTTCAAAACTCATCAAAGACCCAAGACTGATGAGGAGAGAAGAAAGCATGAGAAAACATAATATGACAGCTTTAAATGAGCTTTTGCCATTTGGGAAGAGTTTAGATTTTGTTAATCCAGAAATAAACCTGTCTGTGCCAACTAATTCTGCCTCCTCATCTGAAGTCATGCCTGGTGACCATGCTATTCTTAGGAATTGTTTGGATACCTCTTGCTTCAAAATTTCTTTTGATGATTCACAATCTCAGACTCACAAAATGGGCTCTAAGAACTGTGATTATACAACTTCCAATAAAATTACCATGGAAGGACATTGTCAGGGCCAAGACAATTTTCCATTTCCAATGTGTCTGTCAAATGTCATTTCAGAAGTTGAAAACCAAAAACACAGTGAGGAAAAAGCCCAGCAATCTCAACAGAGAATCAACATCCCACTTTTAATGGAACAAAATAGTGAGCCATTTAACTCTTATAAATCAGTGAATACTTGTACAAAAGGGTATAATAGTCACATTTCTCAGGAATCACAGTCTTCTAATTTAAAAACTATATATCAGACTGGTCACCAGATGTCTACAGTTTTTTCATTCCAAGGGAAAGAAAGCATACCTGAGTACATTCAAAATATTGGAAAGGTGAGAAGCTTCACTGGCCCAGAAGACAATTCCAGATATGGAAGAGAGCAAAATTTGTGGAAAGAAATTCATAATTATTGTGCTAATGAAACAAAAACCAGTCCAGTAGATAGTTACATTTCTTTGCACCAAGAATACGAAGAGGATGAGAGTCTTCATTCTTTTGAGAAAGACTATGATCAAATATTAATCACTCGGGATTTAGAAATATCAAAACCTTCCGCATCTACTACAAAGGAAAAGTATGAGTTAGATTGTCTAGCATTGGAATTACAAAGTAATCCTACTGCAAGAGTGGAGAGCCTTTCACAAAAGCATCTTCAATACTCTTTGGCATATGAAGGTAACATTCATACAAGTTTTGCCATTTCTCAGAAACTAATGGAACAGAAGTTGGAAAAACCAAATCAGAAGAACTGTGTTAGCATTGTAACTGATGCTTTCCAGGAAGCAAAAGACATTCTCCAAACCAAAGAATTGCCCCTTGGTACAGTTACTTCATCTCATGACATTAAAATAGCTCATGACAATTCAAATTGCAACATAGCTAGAGAAAATATGTATGTCCATAGGAAAAATGAAAATGATCCAGTGTCATTAGAGAACATTCAGAGAGACAGCAAAGGAACCCCTCAAATTGATGATAAAGGTCAAGATCATACTCTGTTCTGTTATGCACAGTTGAATAATGATATACACCTGAATACTGATTTCAGAGAACAAAGAAATAATAACGAAAACCAAAATGAGGCTAAAGAGAAAGATACTGTTTCATCTACAGAAAACAACATAGCAAATATATGCAGAAATGAGGAGCAAAGTTTTCATACAAACAAAAATTTCACCAATATGGATGAAAGGAGGGAGAATACAAATTACAATAGTGTAGAATTTCTGAGTTCTGAAGAATTTTCTACCATGTTTAATCTGACTTGGAAAAAATATGCATCACCAGAAACTGCATTATTAGAAACTGAAGATACTATCACTGCCATAAAACAAGAAGATACTCAAAATACCAGAAGGAATATAAAGCCTTTGGCTTCCATATTTCCCAAAATTGCAGGTTCTTCAGTGCATGTAGACTCAAATGCTGTAGTCCAGATAACTGGTACTATAGTGCCCTCAGACACAAATCATGAATACCAAAGATACCAGTTTAAAGAAACTTGTTCTTCTGAGTTTCCAGATTTCCATTTGTTAGTAAAACACAGGGTTTCTAATTGTGAAATGGATATAGATAAAAATAAATTAAATGAGTCTTTTCATCATTCATTAAGTGACAACTTAGTTCTTCAAAGTTTTGAATTGGAAAATGAGATTGAAATAGGATCAGAACAGTGTGATGATGCTTTTCTGTTTCGACAAGATACTCCTAGCCATGGAAATACACTATATGAAGAATTTAGGGCCTCATATGAGGCTCTGAAGTCTCGTATTGATTGGGAAGGTCTTTTAGGAAGCAATAATGGGGAGAAGGAAGTTTTGAAAAGCACCACAAGAAGAGAGAACAATGATCAGCATTACTCTGAGGAAAGTAATTGTTTTTATCCCTCTATACAAAAAAACAAAACAGAGTTCTTCAACCCAATTTTACTTCCAGATCTACAAGTTAGAATTACTAATATAGTTATGCCAGAATTCAGTGCCACTATTAAATCCCTTGCAATGAAAGATAATTTTGATAAATATGTAACTGAAGCCAGAAAAACAGAAATAAATGAGGAGGAGAAAGTTCCAGGATTTGAAATTTATTCCCAGTGTTCTGGTGAAAATTCAGATTATCCTTGTGAAGATGAATTTGGTAATATAAGGCAAGAATCGAGACTAGTGAATAAGTCAGAAATCTCACTTTCTTTCGACTTGAGTCATAATACACACATGAATCACATGCCTGAAGAACAAAACAGTGGAACTTTGCTTACTGAATCTTCTAATGCCACAACAATAAGTAACAAAAGCATATATCCCCTTACAGAGTCAAAAACTGATTATAATGATACTAGAAGTAAAAAGGACACAGAATCAAGAATTAGCAAAAGAAAGCCACATACACCTTTTAGGGACCAGAACATACCACGTAATGACCTAAGACATCATGAAATTTGTGAAAAGAGGAGGAGGCTAACCAGTCCAGACGCATTTGAATGTTTTTCTTCATTATCTGAAGGACGAATTAAAACCTTTTCAAGGTCAGAAAAACACATTAGGAGTGTTTTGGATATTCTAAACAGTGAAGCATCTTTATGTAAAAGCAAACGTCTTTCCAAAAAACTTGACAGAGCTGTTCTTCACTTAAAAAAAGCTCATAGAAGAGTTCACACATCTTTGCAGCTTATAGCTAAAGTGGGAGAAAAAAGAAAGAGCCCATTACCAAAAGCATATGCAATAATATGCAATAATTTCTGGGAAAGTTGTGACCTTCAAGGTTATAGTTCTTTTTCTGAAAGAAGATACTATTCCACTAAGCATTTTTTGTCAAAAAGAAAAAATGACAAACCTGGAGAGAAAAGAGCTTTGGAATATGAAGTTGATAAATCATTAACTCATGTATCAAAGTACAAGACTTACAAAACAAATGGAGAGAGAATAACAAAGTGCTTTTCTAAGAAAAATGTGTCCAGCAGTGTCTCAAGAAGTCACACCACTATTCACGTGACAGAATTTTGTGATCAAGAATACCCTGAGTCACAGTTATCCCTGTGCTCCTCATCCCAAAGTACAAGTCAGTCGGCTTATGACACAAGCAGTAAGAGAAATCCAAGATCATCTGAACTTCAACCCTCTTCTGGAAACATTGGGTGCCTCTTTTCCCCAGACTGCCCAGATGAGAAACTAACCGAAAAAGAAAATCAAATTGACATAAAGTCTTTGTCTAACATTAGTAAATATGAAAAGCTTGAGAACCATTCAGAACATAATGAAGATGCAATAAAAGACAATGTCGAGGCTACTGAAATAATAAATAAAAGTAATTCAGTATCTTTAAGATGCATAAATGAAAACAATTTAAGTTTTAGCACAGACAAAAATTATGATGCAGCTTGTATAGCTCACACAGAGGTGAAAACTGACATAGTTATTTCAGTCTTAGAATCAAATGTGAAGCACTTTTTAAACGTTGATATCTACAAACCAGATAACCTTATTTTATCTGGTTATAAAAGAAACCTGGAAGTAGATCTTCCTGCAGAAAAATGGACAGCTCCTAATGAGAGCTCCAAACCAGGCGCTATTACAGGAAGCATCCTTATGGACCCATTAAATCTAACTCCAGTGACAAGCAAAAAGTGTTACAGTATTCCTCAATTGTTGTCAACTGCTCCAATGACAGATAGTGAGAGAGAATCTTCGAAATCTTATTTGGAGAAACAGGGAAGTTTTGCTGTAGATTCTTTTGCAGCATCCACCAATGTACCACACTGTCAGCAAGGATGTGGTGGAAAGGAGCAGGAGCTTCTTAAGACAGAACAGTCCTCTCCAAGTAGTTGTTTCCATGTAGATGGGAATGAAACAAATGTTATTGAGAATTCTGATTTGGATCTCATACCAATAACTGAAGAAAGTAAAAGTCATAGGAAAAATGTAATGAAAAGACTGTCCTCCAGTGATAGTTCTCTGCTCTTGAAAGGTAATGTAAAGAGTTCTTCAAAAAAATGTATTGCAAAGAAAAACATTCAGGACAGAAAAACGAGGAAAGTTAAACAACCAGAAAAAGCAAAAGATTCAGTTCACAAAAAAAGCATGACTGAAGGATCAACTGTTAAGACTGAGTACAGAAATCAAAAGAATAAGATTTTAGAAGCAAGTTACTTAAGTGAGAAAACAGTTAAAAATAACTTGATTGATTCTCACCTAAGCATTAAAAATAGTACTGAGGCAATCTCTTTGAATAACACAGTTTCTAATCAGCTTAACAAAAGAGAGAAAAAGGGGAGAGTTAAAGTTAGTAATGGCTCTCAGTCTCACTCCACCTTACATTCGGAAATAGCCTGTAATTCCAAACCAGACATTATAGGAATGAATCATATGCCTGTTTCATATGCTCACTCTGAAAACTCCAAAGTCACTACTCCTCAAAAGAAGCCTACATTATACACGAATGAATTAAAAGAAAAACATTGCTCAGCTAATCATTTGGGTCTTATAGGTAGGCTAGATCAAATTTTGAGGAGGGCAGATGAAGCATCATCTTTGCAGAGTCTACAGGAAGAAACCAAGGTTTGTCAAAACATTCTCCCTTTATTTGTTGGAGCTTTTGAAAGAAAGCAAGAATGTTCACTTGAACAAATCTTGATTTCAAGAGAACTGTTGGTAGAACAAAACGTGTGGAATAATTGCAAACACATATTAAAACCGTGTGCTGTTGACTCCTTGGTAGAACTCCAAATGATGATGGAAACTGTCCAATTCATTGAAAACAAAAAAAGGCTCTTAAGAAGTGAACCCACATTCCGAAGCCTGCTTTGGTATGATGAGACATTGTACAGTGAGCTGCTTGGCAAGCCACGTGGATTTCAACAACAATCCAATTTCTATCCTGCTTTTCAAGGAAGGTTAAAATATAATGCGTTCTGTGAGTTACAGAACTATCATGATCAATTAATTGAACTGTTTGAAGAAACCAAAAGGGAAAACCGTTCATACTATGCAGTCTTAAAATACAAACGACAGATTAATGAATGTGAGGCAATATTGAAGCATTGTTATGATTGCTTTGACTTTTCTCTTTCTGTTCCATTTACCTGTGGAGTTAACTTTGGAGATAGTTTAGGAGACCTAGAAACCTTAAGAAAAAGCACTTTAAAGTTGATCAGCATGTATGGGCACTCTCCTAAAGTTGATTCCTGTCCAGGAAAACAAGACCATCTGTGGATTATCATTGAAATGATCTCCTCAAAAGTTAATTTTATCAAGAGCAGTGAGGCAGTAGGTATTAAAATATCTCTTTATGGTCTGGAACATATCTTTTTTGATGCTGCGAAAAGTCTTGTTTGGAAAGAGAAGAGACAGTCTTTCAGCAAAAAATGCTCAGGACAGAAGAACAAAGAAACACTACTCAGAATGAATCAACATTCTTTTTCTAAGCTGCAAAAGATATGTGATACATTGTCTAAAGATTTAAGCAGTGAACAAGTTTCCAACATTGGACTTGAGAATACTGTGATTGCTTCCAGAAAGTCAAATGATCTAATAAACAAAGCAACAATTAGCATAGAAAACTGTAGATTTAACAATATGTTGCTTTCACACCCAGATATTTGTTGTATTAGTGAAATGTTGGATCAAGCTGAATTTGCAGACTTTGAAAAATTACAAGAACTCACTTTGAAGTGTGCTGATCACTTAGAAAATTTAAAAAAGTACTTTCATGTGCTGCAAGAAGATAACTTAGATAATATTTTCATCACAGAAGAAAACGTTTTGGATGTGGTAAAAAGTCACAACCACGATGCTGTAATTTTAAAACCTGAAGCTATTGAAACCTATATTGAAATTGCCATGCTCTCTGAAACAATGCATTTTCTTAAAAACTCAATGGCAAAGAAACTAGACAAACAGAGATTTCGAGGTATGCTTTGGTTTGATTTGTCACTTCTTCCTGATCTGGTTCAATGCCAAGAAAAAATGGCTTCCTTTTCATTTCTTAAAGATAACTCAAAAGATTGTCTTTGGAAAGTGATAGAGACTGCTATTTCTGAATGTAAGAAAGATTTGGATATTACCTGCAAATATAATGAAGCTGTTAATTGCTCATATGCTCTTCATTTGTTCTCAAGAGAACTGGAAGAACTTTCAGAAATAAAAAAACTTTTAAAGAAGTCTAAGTATTCAGTTTCCACATATATTGACTTTGTGCCATATATAGCATCCATAAATTACGGAAGCACTGTGATGGAGTTAGAATATAACTACAGTCAGTTTTCTACGTTGCTCAAAAATTTAACGGCTTCCCCTCGGAAAGATTTAGGGAAAATGGCCCATGTTATGAAAGTCATGAAAACTATTGAACATATGAAGATAATATGTGCTAAAAATGCTGAATTAACCGTTTCCTTTATCCTATGCCAAATACTGCATAATAGAAAGAAGACTAATGGTCTGAAGAGAAAAGAAAAAGTGAATGTTCCTGTAAAACCTAGGAAGAATATCAGTAAATCCAGTACTTGTATGAAGGTAGCCTCAACTTCAGAATGTGTTATGAAAAATGTTTCAAATTCTTCTAAAAAACGACCTATTACTTTAGACAAATGTAAAGACTCTCAGAAACAAGAGAAAAGCACTACTGTTTCCAGCTGTAAAAAACAAAAGGTAATGAATGTTTCAAAATGAAACCTATGTAGTAGTCTTTTTGAGAACAAGTCTAGTCTAAGCAAATAAGTAATTTGCAGAACGGTAAAAATCGAGAATGCTTTAAATATTGCCTTGCAAAATCAATTTACTAAAGTATTGGATTCAACAATTTATATTATCTATTAAGATATAAATGATTATATGAGAGATGCAAATGTCTTTTAAATTTACAAACTAAATTATTTAACTTAGAAACTCTTTCTTGGAAGGATGTGAATTTTAATGACTTGTTAAGTGAAGGTCCAATATTATGAATGTGAGCTAAGTGAATGACCAAGTATTTGCTGAATAGCTTCTATATAACAAAGCTATACTTAACGTAGCAAATGTTAAAAACTGGCTAATAGAGCCTTTGTTTTTGACCATTATCATCTACAAGGGAAAATAGAACAGATATTTTTAAATAGATGATTATGAAAGAGTTAGAAGAAGTCCTACGTAAACACATTTTAAGAAAATTTATACAGCATTTATTGTGTGCTTGGCACTGTTGTAATAATTGCACAGATATTCTTTTTATTTTCAAAAGACCGATGATATAGGTACTATAATTGTCTTATTTAAAGGTCTGGAAAATGAGACATAGAAAGGTTAAATAACTTTCCCAAGGTCACAGAGTTAGTAATGGGAGAGCCCAGATGTAAAACCAGGTGGTGTGACTCCAGAGCCCATTCTGACAGTTGCCCTTACTTTTTGAGGATTTCTCAGTTTAGAAGTAAAGAAAGAAAAACCTATATGCAAAATGAAAAGTAGGATTCTTTCTCAGCTTGGTCTGGTTGTATCCATTAGTTTAAACTAGTTTTAGAGAGTAGGAAACTAATTTATTATACTGCATTTATAGGAAAATGCTTAAACTACCAGTTTATAAACATATTTCCAAAGCACAACAAGAACACAAGTTGTGTACTCCACTTTGAGTGAAATGAGGGTAATACTAAAAAGGTGTTGTAAATAGTGAGAAGAAAAGCCAGAAAATATTAGAAAAGGTTTATTTGTTGATTTCATGGAAGAACACAAACCAAAGCTTTGCTCTGTAGGAAAAAAACATTATTGATGAATGTAAGAATGAAGGAGGGTATCTAAGTTACAGAAAATAAAATATGAGTAAGGACACAATGCTTTTTGACCTTTTTTGAGAAATGAGTTTAAAATTAAGCCTGGAACAAAAATGAAACTTAGTGGACAAGAGTAAGCTAAGGATGGAGATGAACATTGTTTCAGATTATCAAATGTCTTACATATAGGCCTAAGGAGTTTGGACTTTATATATATTGAGGGATGATGCCCTGTGAAATACGCTTTTTTCCCCCAATGATTTAAAGGTGGAGATTCTGAGTACAGTTAGAAGTATAAGTCATCTAGGGCTTAAAACTATTATACAGAAAAAGAAAGGAAAATTCATTTGACAGACATTACTTTTAATGGGGCTTAGTGACTGGTTTACTAAAAGGTATAAAAGGGGGAGCAGTGTTACAAAATGTGGGAATAAAAAGAATTTTGCAAATTTCTTTTTTAAAAAGTGTCTCCAAAAATTGATGACTTATGGAAAGTCACTGCTTTCTGAAGGGAAGGATTATTAGTGAATGTAGTTTTAAACAGTACATTTTAGATGATGACAGAACAAGCAATTGCAAATATCTGATATTAAAATAATAAATATTCATATTTTATTTTAAACCATCACCAATGTATGTTTACCTTGTATCTTTTAAACATAGGTTAACATGAAAGATGTCACAAAAATCAACAGAGAAAAGGCAACGTTCAAGCATCCAAGGTAGGAGTTGCTATCAGCCCTAGCTGAAGAAAAACAAATAAATTGAGCACACATTAAGGAACAAGACTAAAACATTTATTTATGCACCTCTGTTAGATCATGCATGTAACTTAGGGGACAAGAGTAAGCTAAGGAAAGAGAAGAAAGTTTCAGATTATGTAGTGTCTTAAGTAAGGTCTAAAGAGTTTGAACTTCATTCTTTAAGTATTGAAGGATGGTGTCCTGTGAAATGTTTTGTCAATGATGTAAAGGGTAAGGAGATTCTAAGTACAGTAAGAAGTAGTAAGTCAGCCAGGGCTTAGAAAAGAGTGATGTTTTACATAACAAAAAGTAAAATTCATATTTGATAGACATTAAAGAATTGATGGGGCTTAGTGACTGTTTTACTAAAAAGGGCATAGAAGAATTAGACAAGTGATTAGATTGACTTTTTAAAAACTGTGTACTTTACAAAACAGTCACATTTCAAAATTGGTTAAAAAGATATAAATTGCCAACTTATATTACTAGTCATAGACAAACACACATATTATAAATGAACCAGTGTTTCATAAAATGTTTAACACCATACTGTAGGAAGACTATGATTTCAAAATAAAGGCTAGCTCTTTAAACTGAATTTATTTTTATGAAAAGGTACGTTATTTACATTTTTCTCATTTTGACATGAAGTGGCACCACTACACTTGCTGACCATCTCTTGTTTCATTCAACTGTAAGATTGTCAATTTATGATAAGCTTTCTTTTCTTCCGTCTTCCATTTTATGAAGGTGAATGAGTAATATAGAATAAAATAAATAAGCACCTTCATTTCTGTCATACTTGGTTTTGCTTCTTTAAATACAGCATTTTATTTACTACATTTCTAGAATCCTTTTCCTGGCACATATGACTCTTTGAATAGTTGTGTAGTGACATAAAGATGAAGGGGCTATTAGAAGTATAACATAAACCAGTTCCATAATCATCTTAGTCTTGGTAACTAAGTATAGGTATTTGCTGCTCAAAGAATCAAACTTTGTCTCACTTAGCAGGAAGATGCATTATAATATAAGTTAATATAAGGTGTTATCTTAGAAGAATATCCTCTAAAGAACAAACCGTAGAGGCAGCTGTTAATCTATAAGGTCAAAACATCGCTGAAATACATGGCAAGTGTGATAAAGTTAAAATTGTACTTTCCAGAAACTCTGTCAAAGTATTATATGAGGTTGGATGATGCTGTAGGATGTCATTAAAGAGTCTTTTAAGGAAGCTGAGTTAAATAAAGGGCTTTTAGTTTCATAAGTGGAATATACAAATTTGAAGCTAAAGATTAATTTCTCTTGTCTGTGGAGTAGTGGTTACTTTTTTCTTTTTAACATGGTCTTTACCATATGTAATTAAAAGAATTTGATTAGATATAACGATATAATTACCTCAGGGACCTGTATTAACTGTTTGTCTCTACAAATTCTCATAATGGATGCTTCCTTCAGCCTACTTGAGACTGTCTAAATTTAGGTAGGAATGCAAGGATATTGAAGTGGCAAGGATTTTGGAGGTCTGCTTTTCCTATTCTTTGAACAGACAAAATATCTTAGTAGTTTGTGATAACAGAAAATGACCTTTTTGGGGGGAGGGGCACATCTGGTAGTTTCAAGTAGAGAAGATTGTCTCTGGATTGGAGGTATATGAATTAGAAATTATACTACAGATTTTCTAAAGGCCCCTATCAGGAAATGTCCAAAGCATAAAATAATTTTTTTAGCATATTGCAGCACTGTATATTTCCAAAATATCTATTTGAAACGTGGAGTATATCACGTTCGGCAGGAAAAATGTCTAGATTCAAACAAAGGTAGTAAAACTGGGGGAATATGTTACTTGTATACTGCTAATAGAAAGAAAATGTAAATCCTTAAGATCTCTTGAATAAAAATTTCAAATATATACTTATACTAAAATTTTGCAACTGTATATTTAAAATTGTTCGTATATATGTGTTAAACCTAATAGGACCACAAGATCTCATCCCAGAAGTAAAAATGAAATAGGACCAAGTTCATGTGACAATCTGAAAAGAAACCACGTATCTCCAAAAAAGGTTGAAATGCAAAGATCACTGCCTGGCTCATCTTTACCTTTAAAGTACCTAAAAGACACTTGCATGTTGAAGTTGGAGGGAAAAATAGATTTAACTAATATTTCATCTGATATTTCAGAAGATTTCACTGGACAACAGGAAAACTTAAATAGCATAAAGAGAAGAGATCTGACTTTTAGTGCTGCTGAAACAAAAAGTGATAAGGATTGTCCTCCTGTAATTTGTGACCAAAAAAGTATAGATGGCACACTTTCAAAAGATGATGAAACACCTTCCCAAAACTTACTTAAGAATTTTTCAGATCCTGCAGAGAAATCTTGTCCCTCAGACATAAAACCAGGAACTGATGCTTCTCTTCTACCTCATGCATCAGTGCTTGTAAAGCCTATTTTTCCTTTTGTGACAGATATCCATGCCAATTTAGAAATGAATGACACTGTCTTTGAAAGTCAGAATAACGAAATATTAAATTCATCTATTAAAAATTCTACATGCACCAATTCTCCAGAACCCATATTTATCCAGAACAAAATTCCTGTTCTGCAAATAAATGAAACACAGCCTGCAAAAACTGAGTCAGAAGACAAATATGTGAAAGATACATTGAATCCCAGTACTGTACCTGTTGAAGAGAATATAACTGTTAATGTTGATCAAACAGCAGAATGCTCTTTTTATGAGCAACGGAATAATGAAAATTCAAAAATCCTAACTCAGAATGCTGCCGCATATTGGAATGAACTTCCACAGCCTGCATGTACCCCAGTATATAATTCTTCTGCACACTCATTTGGAACTTCATATCCTTACTATGCTTGGTGTGTTTATCATTACAGTAGCAGCAATGGCAATTCCATTACCCAAACTTACCAAGGAGTAACATCGTATGAAGTACAGCCACCTTCTTCTGAGATGTTGACTGCAGTTCCAAGTACTATACAAAATACACATTCTAATCTTTTGTACTCTCAATATTTTGGTTATTTTGCTGGACAGCCACAAGCATATAACTTTGTGCCAGCAAGTGGATATTGTCAATCTCGAACGCCTGTTTCTGTCAATTTTCAGCAGCCAGCTTTTTCACAGTATGCTTCCTATCAGCCATTACCACAAGCTGCATACCCTTATCCTCCAGACTCAGGTGTGCTTCCAGAAGTTCCTTGGACTTATGGTGAGTTACACAAGTTTTAATGCTTGTTTCATTGAGGTTTTGCTTTTGTCTTTGTATATTTATGTAAATGAAATTTACAAGGGATGATACATAGCAGTCATTTTTCTGTGCAGATTGTGGAATAGTTCAAATATCAGAGTTGAATCATATTGCCAAGTGGATATCTAGTTGTTAAAGATGCAATAAAAAGAATTGTTACTATCATTAATATAACAAAACCCAACTCTCGGGAATAATTAAGAAAATTAGTTAATTCATACTATGAAATGTGATACAACCATTGAAGAGTTTATAAAAGTTTTTAATGACAGTTTTTAAAACTATCATATAAATTGACCTATGTAAGCAAAGAAATACATAGAAATATTGACATGAAGTACACTAACATTTTAACTTGTCTGCCTCTGGATGATAAAATTTGGGGTGTGTGGAAAGTGTTTTTCTGTATTTTCTAAGATATCCTACTGGGAACAAATATTATTTTGATAAATAGAGGAGAAAAAATAAGTCAAAAACCAGAGTGAAAAAGAGACTTCAATCGGATAAAGCAAAATTTCTCTTTCTCTCTGTATTCTAATATATCTTCTTGGCAGAAGTGAAAATGAAGTTAATTGAGATGTGTTGATAGAACAACTTGGTAGTTTGGCACTGGAACCTGAAAAGTTTTCCTTTAAACATAAGTCTATTTGTAAAAATTATTATTAGAATATAGATATTAAAATTAAATAGAAATGTGTTTTACCAGAGTTAAAGCAAAATTTAAAACAATTATTCATAATTCTGCAAAAACTGCAGTTACCTGCTAACACTCAAATATTCTACCACTAGAGGTAAAGTGTACTGTAAATAAAGTTAATCTCAGTGTCTTAAACAGAGAAATATAAGAGAATTTCTTTTCAATTCAAGTTGTTTCTCAGTCCTACATTGTCTTAAAAATTAATAAGTAGAAAAAATTAATTGAATTAATTTATTCATTTGTCTGAATTGACAAGAAGCAGCCTGTTAACATAGTTCTATTCCTAATTAAGAAAAATGATCAGGGCAGCATAGAGAATATAGGTAATAATGTTGTAATAACTGTGTGTGGTGACAGATGGTCACTTAGACTTGTCATGATGATCACTTCGTTAGTTACATAAATGGCTAATCATTATATTGTATACTTGAAACTAACATAACATTGTATGTCAACTAATTTTAAAATGAATTAAGAGAAAAGAAATAACCCATGATCTAAAGGAGTTTCACAAAAAGGGGAAAAAAAGAAATCTGATCACAGGAGGAGCTCTGCATTGGAATTGGCACTGGCACCCTGTCACTTATAGGATAAAATTCAGATTAACTTGGAATGCGGAACCCTTCACAGTCCTGTATATACAGCCTCATCTCCCACCACTTCCACCTTTGTATTCGAGCCACAATGAATGTCTTACTATTCTCCCATGTGACAATTCCTCTGGTATTTCCATGGTACTTTCTGTGTGCATTTCTCATGTGATAAGGCTTGTGAGAATTGTGTAGTATTGTGATTATCTGTGTATCATTCCCTTCCCTGCCTGCCCATCAAATGAGTTTAAACTGGACTGGAATTTTTCACCAAAAATGGAACCTGAAAAATAACTCTAAAGGAGGGGAGAACGAAGCAGGAGGTGGGGTGAGGGAGTAAATGACTGTGCTTTTCCTTTTTGGTTAATTTGATACACTGCTGCTGCTGCTGCTGTAATGGTAAACACACCAAGCATAGATGTGGCAAACCTGTATATTAAAGTAGACATTTTAATTTCTGGAATGGGAAACCTCGAATGTAGTCGTTTTATAAAGATTCTCATAGAGCTTTCTTGTGTTCTTAAGAATTGAGCTGTTTGTGATGCTAAAAAAGATATCTCTAGAATCAAGTCCATCTTTCATTCTCAAAAATTTGAATTGTTACCTCCTTGGTTATATTAGTCAAGTGAAAATAAAAGGTAAAAACAAATATCTGCTTATTACAGTATCCAAAAGTAACTCTAAATATTAGGAGGCACTATAAGCACATCTTTTAGTTTTCGTGAGTGCAAATAATCCATGGAGATCCAGTGGCACATTTACAGGAACTACATCCTTCTAAAGATAAGAAAATCCCTATGACCCGTTTACTACTGTTTTGTTCATGATGCTCACGTTCAACACCATGAATGGAAGTAAAAGAAGGGGCTAAATGAACCCTATGTGCTAGGCACATTACATCTTTTATTCCATTTAATTCTCACAAGATACTTGTGAGAGATTTAGATACTATTGTTCTTTTACAGATGAGGAAGCATCTCCTTGGAGAGCCTTAAATCACTTTCTCAGGATTCCATGGCTAGTAAAGGGCAGATGTGCAGTCTGAACTTTGATCTCTTGAGCTCTAACTCAGATCAGGTCTTTCGATGATGCCATTAGTCTGCATCATTAACTTATCTCAAATCTTTGTGCTTTTTTTTCTTCCAGTTCCATGGCAACGTCAAGAACCCTTTCAGCCAGGACATTGAAAATGGTCTTCTGTTTACCAAAAAATAAAGGAGATTTGCAAGTTTTTCCAAGTTTATTTTACTTATATATTTTTTATTTTAACATTTTAAATATATGTAAATGTGGTAGGAAATATATACCATATAGCCTTTTATAAAAATTTTAAATGCAGCAGCATATCATATAATGCAATGGGAAATCAATTTCTGACATCTGAAATACCAAAATTATTTCCATGCAGTTATTTTAGTGAACTCTTTACTAGGCTATTTTCAATATCCACCTAGCCATCAGAAACATTTACAATATTTTTTGTAATTTACTTTTTGAAGTGTTGCTATCACAGCTATTACAGTTATGTAAAGATTTTTGAGTTTATTCTATAAGGAGAATAAATGTAACATTTAATATGATTAAGATTAAGCAATAGTATTAAAATCTTTAAAATAAGAATTTTGTTTCTGATATTTTTGGTACATCGTTTATGGCAGTGTTGTGCCATTTGACTTAGATTAAAATAGGATTTTCTTTACTTGGATTGGTTATTAGAACAATAATTTTATAATTCTTGACACTTTATGTAATTTATAATTTTGCTGTGTCTAATATGACAAATTCCTTTAATTTCAATTTTTTATTTTCCGTGTTTATCCTTGAGTAGAGATTAAAATTTTTATGTTTGAAGCAGTTTTAGTTCATTGTATTAAAATTAAAGCACATTTAATACCTTTTTCTATAAGAGCCCTTTTTACAATATTATTTTTTTTATATTTGCATCTCATAATTTAAACAGCTTTTAATGATTTTGTAGCAAATAATAGGGAATAATGTCTTTAGCTTATGCCATTAGTGTAGTGGTATTTCAGTAATTTAAATAATGCAGCACAAATATAAGTTTTTTAATGCTGTGGTCGCGGATTTTTTTTTCCCCCTTTTTCAACATTTCACAAAAGTAAAAAATGCATTGAAAATTATCATTGTAGATTAGGGTGTAGTATGTAACTATGGTCTTCAGCAACCTCTCTGCCCACCCACAACTATACCTGTTTTCTGTAAGATCACAGTCAGAAAGGTTCCTCACAACTAAGGCCTTTTTCAAGTACTTACTAGTGGTCTCTAACACATGATGAGATTTGCATTGACTAAATCTAAAAAGATAGTTAACCATCAGTGTTTTCTCAAACTCTTTAAGTTAACCAATTATGTGATCTAGCACAAGCCTCTAAAGAGGGTGTAATTCAGCCATATTTATTGTAGAGTAATTTTTCAATTTAGAAAAACACTGACACCTGGGATAAGCTTCTTTGGTCACATTAACCAAATAGAATAGAATTCAGAATACTTTGGTTTCTTCTCTAACAAACAGGACTTTAAAAGGGGAAAATCAAGCGAAGAACTGCAACTGAGAGGAATAAGGAATTTGAAAAAGACTATATAATTAAAGCAATATCAAGATAATGTATATTTTTTATCCATATAGTTGTTTTATTAAAAATCAGAATTCCTGACTAGGCATTAAAGCAATAATATTAGCTGTTATTCAAAAACTAACTTTGCCTCAGCCATTTGATTGATGTTTGGTTATAAAAAGATGTTACAAATTTATTATTAAAAATGTTCCTTTTCGGTAAACCAAAAGTTTACCTTAATTATTCTAATTAAGGATGCTTTCTTTAAATAATTTTCAGATTCCATTGATATTTGTGATGTTTTTATTTCATCAGTGAATTTCTTCAAAAAAAGGAAAATAAAAAAATCTAAATATTCAGTTAAATTTTGAAATCTGTTCTTTGAAACATGAAAAAACAGTATTTTTCCCTTCATGTATGTGTTTTAATTCTGAAAATAAAAATGGAATTAAGATTAGAGCAAACATTATAAACAAAAGAAAATCCTGCTTGTTTGTATGTTATTGTTTTGGAACTTAAAAATTATTTGAATAATTCAATTGAATAAATTGAATTCATTTTCGTTTCAGGTTTTTTTTTTCCTTTTGTTTCTTGAATAATGAGCAAATAATGGTCTGCGGTTTATACAAACCCATTACATGAAAACAACCCACAAAGAACTGACTTCATTAGATGCCTAAATAAACTGATAGGGCACTTCCTTCACTTCAGCTGCTTTTGCTTTCACCTCCTTCCTTCCCCCACACTGCCACCCTTACAAATGTCATTACTACCTGGAGTTTCACAGGACAAGCCAAAGTCCCTGGCCTCATGCAGTTCTCAATTTGAGTTGTAGTTGATTTCACATCATGAAAAGTGATATGTAAAAAACAAAACAAAGTAAAGAAATAAAGAATGACTGGATGATACATAAGCCGAGATGTTCAGGGATGGCCTTGTTAAAGAGGTAGTTAACCTAACTTTCATATTCTTATATCTTAATTATATCACTCTGCCTTCCATTAATAAACATACTGAAAAAGTGCCTCCGAAACCTGAGTTATGAATCTAGCCAAATAAAAGGCTATGCCCCCATTTTCCCAATGACAATATTTGCCA